AACTAAATATTGAATAACTAATTAAAAAGTTGATTGTGATCCCCCCTAAAACTATGAAATCCTTCCCTGGTTGAGAACTCATGTTCTAGACCCTTACTTTAAATTCTTAGAGGTGGTTTTGACTTGCACTAGTAGGCTGTATTGACTTCAGTTTCCTGTATATTATTAGAAATCTCATTATGTAGTTTTCCTATGAAAATTATCTCGATAAAGCTCCAAAAATAATTTTTGTCATGCTTTAATATAAAAAAGTTGATGTCTATCAAAATATAACTTGAATATGGAAGACTTAATTTTTTTTTTTTGTTGTTGTTGTTGCATAACAAACAAACAAACAACAAGAACAACATAGATTAATGGTGAATTCAACAGTGGGCTTGTGCAAACTTTCTAGCTCACCACAGCTTATAACCAAAATTTGAGCCCATTAATGGCTAATTATTTAAGGTCCCCAATCACTGAAAATTTGCCATGTATGGTTCCTAGCAGTAGCCTTTGGATTTCATGTTTTGCCTTGAATCCTCATGCAGACCCTGTTGTTGAAACTGAAATGTAACTGTGTAACTGAATATAAGCCAGTTTTCCTCAGAAAATCTTCTATAAAAGCATCCTTTTTAAAGCAAATGTAGTTCTTGTATGCTTATACTATAATCGGTGAACTTGTGAATGAACCATTAAAATAAAATTACATCTGAGTTTTTTATTATAGGATTTGCTATTCCAAAATCTCTTTTCATTTTAAATGTTATATTACCATATGACCTTTAATATGTTGCAAAATTAGTAAGTAAAGCATTATAAATATCTTGTTAAACATTATATGGTTAATATCACGTATATTTATCCATACACATAGAAAGTGAGGGCTAATAAGTAAAAAAAAAAGTATTAAATTTATATATACAGTCAAAAGTCGTTAATCCGGACTCGTTGGGACTTCGGCAATTCCAGATTATCGACTTTTCCGGATTATAGATCATCAGTTTAAATCTGGTAAGATGGCATGCAGAAATTACAAAATTAAAAATATGAAACCGTAATTTATGAAATAAAGAACAATTATGATCTAAAGGGTATCAAAATTTACTAAAAGAAAAAGCTTAATATTTGTTTACTTTATTAAACATTTCTTTCAATGTAAGTTGTTTAAGTTGCTTCGTTTTATGTGATAATACTTTCTCTTTAATTCTATTAAACAGACATAATTTCTTGTTTAGTTACAAAGTTCCGCTGTTCAAGTCCTATAATTGCTGTGTTGAGAATACCAACTAATTTGTCAATCGAAATTTTTTCGTTTTCAATAACCTCTGTCACTTTCTTCACTTTTAGAAGCGAATTATAATGACGAGGAACTTGTTTTAAATCATATAAAAGATGGAGTACATCTAGATGAAATACTACATTTAGTAAGGAATTATAAGCTAAATAAAATAAAAACATCTGCCCTGAAGATAAGGATAGTGCTGACAGATCACTTCCAATTCATTGCGCGCCGCGGCGTTCCCCCCACCAAGCAGCATGAAATTGATAAAAAGATTTCGAAATTGATAAACAGATTTTGAAACATACTTTCGCTTTAGATCTTTTACATATTAGTAAAAATATATCGGAAATTCTATTTGATATAATCGAAAGTTCAAGCTTACTTTTATAAAATTGCTCTAACAGTCTGCAAAAAATAATAAGCCAGATCTAATTCGAAGATTAAGGAACAATGCAATCTGCAACATTAACTGAATTAGATAATTTTAGCTTAGCTTATACCGTCCGTTACACATTCAACGCGCATGCGTAAACGTTTTATGCGCACTCGCATATTCGCAGCCGTAAAGGTCTTACGCGCACACGTAAACACCTATGCGCATGCGTCTTCTTGACGCAGAAAGTTTGTAGCTTTGAGGTCCAGATTATAGATCATTCCGGATTACGGGTGTCCGAATTAACGACTTTTGACTGTATTATTATGTTGTTGCTTTTTTCTTTTTTGACACCAGTTGTTACGTTATTTTCTTCCTTCACGTTCGTACGGGGTTCGTGTTGATTTGGAATGAATAATGATGACAGCACTTGATGAAGTATCAAAACACACTTTATTTAGCCAATATTAATCAGGACAGCTCCAAAGTCACGTTTTACAGTCATCGAAGATCTACTATATACACTCGCTGAAACAATCAGCGACACAGCCTTCAGATTATCAGGCTATAACGGTGAAGACAGTTTCATTGTAAAGCACAAGAGTACAGCATCCGACTCTCCTCGGTCGTTGTCGGAACTCCATGTACTTTCGAGACTCTCCACGCTACAACTTGCAAAGCACTCTACGACACACAAAGCATGGCTCCCGACTCTTCGGTTCAGTCGTTTCTGGAGCTCAACATGCTCTCTCACCAATGCACTAACCGCAATACTCAAACTCGCTCTTTTGATGCACTCGACAACCAACTCAGCGCTTGACTTCGAGGCACTCGCTCAATGACTGACTATCAGCTTGCTAGACGAGGCACACACTCGATACTAACTAACTCTCCACGTACCAGCAGGGTTTATATAGCTTTTGGCTGGTGTTCGAGAACATTCTGGGCTAAAACCGGTAAGAATTCGTTCCAGAAGGTTCTCCATCCAATCTATGGCATATCGCCAATTTTGTCGCCAAATGGGCGATTTCTCATCAAATGTGGCAACCCTGCATTATCTTGCCATTTTATGGCAACCCTAAAACTGCTTTGCTAAAACTGCTGCTTCTATCTCACCATGCCTGGTCATTTTGTAACAATATAAAGTCATTAGTCAAAGCTTCCTAAAAATATTTTTATATATGTATGTAAGAAAACTTCTAAATTTAATTCACTGTAGCCTCTTTAATTTTTTATTTCATTTGGAAACTTCATCTCTCTGTCCTAAAAATAACGCTGTAAGTCTAAACTGTGTCATTCAAATTAATCATGCGATCTTACATAACACTTAATGCAGATGCCTCTTGACCAAATTGTAAACCATAACTAAAAACTGACTCCCTCCCTTCTTTCTATGAACTGATGCGTCACTTTTGCATGTGCTTTGCTCTTGGCCAGACGCCTTTCTGCAATCATGTGTGTTTTGCTGCATTCTCTTCTATGATATTAAAGAACAAGAAGAAAGAAAGAATGTGCCTATTAAAGAACATTTACAATATCAAAATTGTAAATGTTCTTTAATAGTCAACGAATAGAGTGCCAAGTGAATTGTGGCCACAAAATGGGAATTTAAATAAATAAAAGAAATTTAATCCAGCTCGACTGCTTCTTCTTCAAAAATGGATGGACACTCTAAGCATCAAGTATCTACGCAATTATTATTTCTACGCATCTACGTCAAAGCATTCTTATTTCAGTGCATCCAAAAGTGTTCTGTCGTTATATTCTTCGGCCAGTTAAAATTATGAAAAGTTCTACACGAGTTTGTTAAGCTATGTTCACAGTGTATGTACAGTATTGTGCTTCATTTATGTTCAGTGTATATTTCACCCACTGCATCTGTAGAATAGTATTATACTGTCAAAACTCGTTAATTCAGACACCCATAATCTGGAATGATCTATAATCCGCACCTCAAAGCTACAAACTTTCTGCACATGCGTCGTGTTGACGCATGCACATAGGCGTTTACGCATGCGCATAAGATCTTTACAGCTGCGAATATGCATGTGCGCATGCGCATAATACATTTACGCATGCGCGTTTAATGTATAACGGTATAAACTAAGCTAAAATTATCTAATTCAGTTAATGTTGCAGATTGCGTTGTTTCTTAATCTTCGAATTAGATCCGGCTTATTATTTTTTGCTGACTGTTAGAGCAATTTTATAAAAGTAAGCTTGAACTTTCGATTATGTCAAATAGAATTTCCGATATATATTGACTAATATGTAAAGGATCTACAAAGCAAAAGTATGTTTCGAAGTCCATTAAACAATAAGTGGAATTGCTGCAAAAAATGGATAAAGGCATATCCTTTGATTCTCTAACAATTCCGAAATCTGTTTATCAATTTCACGCTGCTCTGCAGGGGAGGGGGGGGTGGCATCGCGGTGCGCAATCGAACTGGAAGTTGAATCTGTCCAGCACTATCCTTTATCTTCAGGGCAGATTGGTTTTATTTTATTCGGCTTAATAATTCCTTACTAAATGTAGTAATTCATCTCGATGTACTCTGTCTTTGATATGATTTAAATCAAATTCCTCGTCATTATAATTCGCTTCCGATAATGAAGAAAGTGACACAGAGGTTATTGAAAACGAAAATATTTCGATTGACAAATTAGTCAGTATTGACAAATTAGTCGGTATACACAGCAATTATAGGACTTGAACAGCAGAAGTTTGTAACTGAACAAGAAGTTATGTCTGTTTATAGAATTAAAGAGAAAGTATTATCACATAAAACGAAGCAACTTAAACAACTTACATTGAAAGAAATGTTTAATAAAATAAACAAATAAATATGAAGCTCTTTTTTTTTTTAATTTAAATACCTATTAGATCATAATTGTTCTTTATTTCATAAATTACGGTTTCATATTTTTAATTTTATAATTTCTGCATGCCATCTTACCAGATTTAAACTGATGATCTATAATCCGGAAAAATCGATAATCCGGAATCGCCGAAGTAACGACTTTTGACTGTAGTAATAATAGGATTATTTTTATAAAAATCATTTTTTTCTTTAATTTCTTATTCGAAAAGTTCATTTGGTATATATTTATGGATCTGGAACAAATTAAACGTATACTGAAGTACCACTGTATATAATGGTGTAAAAAGATTAGCTTCGGCATATGTTTAACTTTTTGTGGATGCACAATTTCAGTGTTGTCCAATTATATTAATAAGTTAATAGAACACTGAATATTTTTAATGCAAGGTGTGGAATATAGAAAAGGCTTACCATATTATAATACTTGATTGTAGATGGCTTGGAAATTTGCCTAAAAACATTTTTTCCCCCTCCCTGATAGGTGGCATTGCTAATAGATGGGAAGTTTCTCGTCTTATCTGGCCATATATGCTGAGCATTGGGTTAGCCTATTTTGTGACGTTATGTCTGTTTCCTGGCATTGAAAGTGAGATAATAAGTTGCTGCCTCGGGTCTTGGATGCCTGTTATACTAATGGCAATCTTTAATTTCTTTGATTTTATTGGTAAAGTAAGTATTGTATTCTTAATCTTTATTTTTTGAATTATATTTTTTAGTTTTGATTTTTTAATAAGCAATTTTTTGGCTTAAAATATGATTCATCATTATAGTAACTTGTAATAAAATTCGATAATCAGGTCTATTTTTTTTTTTTCAGTGTAAGCTGTTTTGAAACACATACTTTTTCCTCTTCTTTTATTGTATGTACAGAATATTTTAATTTTGTCAATAAATGTGACTTTGTAGAGAAATTATGTTCAATTCTGTATCAATAATGGTATTTTCAAATAGCATCAGGGAGGAATTACCTTTTGAAAACTAAGAATGGATTACTTGTACCCGATTTGTTTAAGAAAAATGCTGTAGTTATGAATAAATTAAAGCATCATCACATACAATGTTTCAAAAAAATATGGAATAAATTTTTCCTAATCCCCCCCTCCCTACATTACTTCCAAAAAAATCTTTGTTATTAAGTCATATAATTTTATCAAGGAATCCATGTATTGTATGTGTTATTATTAAGATATAATTTTATCAATGAATCCATATATTGTGTTTTTACTTCATTATAGTTTAGTTTAATTTGCACTAAGTACATCTAATAGGCCTAAAACCTTTGAGAGAAAACGTTACATTATTTTTGCTGGCTTTATCTCCCCACTTTCATCCCCATAGTCCTTGAAAATGCTATTTACCATATTTGCCGGCGTATAAAATGCACTTTTTTCTTTGAAAATAGGTCACGAAAATGGGTTGTGCCTTATACATTGATACTCAGTTTTTGATTACATTCATTTCTGTAAATTTCCTATAGAGAAGCAATTCCTATTTTGGAAGCATGCAATTTTTTTTCTTGTATCCCTGCAGAGTGTAGGAATATTACAGTTACGTAGAGTACAGTGAATGCGCATGTTCTGTCATTGACAATCAAAGCTGGGTTCGTTTAAACTTTCCAATTTTGTAAACAACTTTTAAGTGTGTGAAATTTCTACTGTTCAATTTTCTTAAATTTGTTGGCAAGTTATGGCACAAAAACAACATATCTGCATAGCTATAACATAGTAAACTGAATACTTTGGTTTTAGACTATAGAAAACTGAGACTTTCAGTCTCTACAAAAATTATTATACACCAATCAAACGCAATAGCGACTGATAGAGAGATTGCCAATTTTACTAGATCAACATACGAAATGTATTCAAGATTCATAGAGAAACCAGCTATGTATGCGGACTTAAAACAAAAATATCGCAAAGATGCCAGACGAATATGAAGAAAAAGTTATTGAATTTCATTGAATCGTTATTAATGCATGAAAACAAGAACATTTTAAACTTTCACAAATAGGAAACATGGACGAGGTTCCTCCGACTTTTGATGTGCCCTCAAACAAAACTGTAGATTCCAAAGATACAAAAAGTGTTACTGTTAAAGCTTCAGGACATGAAAAAACTCTCTACACAGTTGTTTTATCCTGCTGTGCTGACGAGACAAAATCACCCTCACTATAAATTTTTAAAAAGAAGACTGTACCCAAAGAAAAATGAGGCACTCTGGCGGACTTTTGAAGAAACCTGCCCTACTACTATAGGATAAGTTTCGTTCTCACAGAACAGAAGATGTTAAACTCAAAGAATTGAAAGCTTAGTTAGCTGTAATTCCAGGACGCCTAACTAGTCGGCTTCAACCTTTAGATGTCTGTATTAATAAACCATTTAAGGCATTTATGAAGGAGAAGTGGAAAAGCTGGATGCAGTCCTCAAATTTTGAGGTTACACCATCAGGAAGAAGGAAGAGGCCTAGCATTTTGCAGGTTTGTGAATGGATCAAAGCTTCATAGGATGCTGTGAAAATAGAGATTGTGGTTAAATTATTAAAGAAGTGTGGCATTAGTAATGAACTGGGTAGTACGGAGGCTTTTTTTTTTTTTTTTTTTTTTTTTTTTTTTTTTTTTTTGTGCATGAAGACTCAGATGCTGATTTAGAAGAAGTTTCAAGTAACTCTTTGTTTAGCTCTGGAGATGAGTGTCTGGGTTCTGACGATGATCAAAAGATGTTCTTTCCTTGATAGATTGGGTATTTACGGAAAGTATTACTTTATATTTAAAATACTGTAAATTCATTATAATGATCAGTAATAAAGTTTTATCCTTCAAAAATGTGTATAAAAAAGGAAATGTGTCTTATAGGCTGGCAAATACGGTAATTTCTCCATGAAAGAAAAGTACGCTTATGCAAAATTTAAAGTTAAGCAAGAAAAAACTTAGATTTACATAAATTTTGAATTTAAAATAAATACATCATAAAAAAAGAAAAAGTCTGAAAGGATTGAGATTTTGACGTCACACCAGAGAGTTTAATAAGGTTTTTTATGCTGAGTTTATTGAGGTCACAGTTTATATATCTGCTCTTGAACTCACTTGCACTGACTTAAATTACAAAATTTTTAGAAGCAATATATCTTTAGAATTGATGACATAATGTTAAGTGTTGTTATACATTTTTTAGCCCAAAAGAGCTATATTATTCTAGAACCTTACTTTTGCAGCAAATCTTTTTTTTTTTTTTTTTTTTTTCCTCTCCATTTTACTTTTTAACCCTCTGAGTGGCACTGGATTTTAGATCCATCATTTAGACCGGTATTCAAACAACATTTATTGAGTTTGTATAATTAGGTATTTTAGTCTTACATACATAAACTTACATTCATTAAGATATTTACATTATTAAAGAAAGTAAGAAAGCAAAATATCTTAAATTATAAGCTAATATATGCCAAGTAGCAAAACTTCTGATGACCAGATAAAGCTGGTCATAATGCTCAGAGGGTTAAAACAACTAGCCATTAGCACAGCCAGCTGCCTTAAAATAGTTCCTATAAAAAAAGAAAGAAACAAAGATGTTTTTAATAAATTCATCTAGGATAATTTTATCGATTCAGCTGGCATCAATAAAAGAGATAAACTGCATTTATTTCTTTTAAATCACTTAGTTTGTTAATCAGCAACAAGCAGATTAAAAAGAAAAATTAAACATCTTATGCTTTGCCAAATAACAATAAGCTGGCAAGTGGAAATTAAAAATATTTTATATGAGATATATTTAGATTTCTTGCTAAAGTGGTAAATGACACCATTCTTTTTTTTATATTTACTGTATTATTTCTTTAAAAACAACACATGGCTTAACATTTGGTTGCAATACTTTTTTTTAAATATTTTCTGTATTATTTCTTTAAAAATAATATGTGGCAATAACATCTAATGGCAACATTTTAAAAGTGGCATGGTCAGAAATCGAGGTTTGAGACTAATAGCGCCTCTAGTGCTAAAAATTCTACTGATTTTGAGGATAATCAGGCAAAATTTTTTTGCTGTTGAAGTAAATAAAGTTTTATTTAAAATCAGCGCTGATCTAAGGTTTCACTTTTACTTAGTTTTAAAATTTTATGTCTGTTTATTAACATATTATAAATGATATATCTATATTATTATTATCAAATTTTTAATTTTAAAATTATTCAACTTGCTAATTTCAGGTTCTTGCATCTATATCACATAATTGGACTAAAAAGCAACTGCTACTGTTATCAGCTAGCCGAATTTTTTTAGTTCCACTTCTTGCCATGTGTGCGGCTCCAAGAGGTTCTCCTGTTCTACCTGGTGAAGGATGGGCGATGGTATTTTCCCTTTTGTTGGGTATTTCCAATGGAATATCTGGTTCTGTCCCTATGATACTTGCACCTTCTGTAGTGTCTGCTGAGCAGAAAGAACTTACTGGTATGTTTTATTATATAAAACATATACCAAAATATGAGATGAAATATAAAGGGTTTATGATCTAGTTATTGATTTTATGGGATAAATTGTGCTAATTTATTTGGTAACTATTAAGGGAATAAGAAAAGAGGCCACATGGAAAAGAAATAAAATGATTATTTCATTAAAACTTTTGGAACAATAAAAATACAAATGGATCACAAAGTAAGTAGTTCGAAGATTACAGTAAAAAGTCTCTAATCTGGACATCCATTATCCGGAATAATCTGTAATCCGGACCTCAAAGCCACAAACTTTGCATGCGCGTAATGCATTTGCGCATGTGCATTATATATAAAACATTACTTGAATATGACAAATGAAAAGTATTCATGAATAAATTTCTGGTAGTTATTGAATTATTATTTATATAAAAGAAACCTACATTCCAATGAGATTATAGAGTAATATTAACCTTACAGTATCTAGTAAGATCTCTTCCCTCTGTAAATCTTGAATCTCATCCTTTCTTTGGTCCCTAAGGCCTCGTGTCAAAAGGGCTTCTGTAAATGTATCATCTGCTACAGCTTGCAACATCATTGTTTAATCTGCCTTCTCTTGTGCTATGATTTTTAGGATCATCGAGAGCAATAGATATCCCTTTTCTTGAATCTCTTCACTATAACTGTTTGAGTAGGCAAGTGTATGTCCTGAATAGTCAGAAAATAAACCATTATTAATGCATTATTTTTCTGGTAAATTGATAATTTTTAGTGAATACATGACCATTTAAAATAAGTTAGGAATTCTGAAATTGTTGGTTTGCTGAGAAAGTTCTGGCTGTTTACTATATGCCAAAATGTGTCTTTGTAGAGACCATTAGGATGGAGGACATGAGAAAATTCAAGTGAGCTGTCTTTCTTGTCAAACTGTAAATATTCCAGTTCCCAACTAGATTTGAACACCACAACATAAGTACAATGGAAAGGACCTGGAAAAATAAAGCAGAAAATATCAGAAACCAATTATATTGTAAGTTCCGAGGAACATAATTAGCCAAATCAAGTATATCACATTAACATGCTTAAGCCATATTACAAAAGACCAGAAATGATTAATATGATAACTGAATGGAAGGAGACTTAGAAATGGACATTCATCATTTACCTTCCAACCCAAGTATATTAAATTTCTCGGACATCATAGAGGAGAATGAACTCGAGAAAAGTTTGAAACCCAAGCAAATAAAAGATTTATGAAAGGTTTTATGGAAATTCTGGTTGTTTTTCAAATACTGGACTAACAAACTTAGTTTGACACAATATTGAGGTATTAAATAACGAACCAATACAAATAAAGCCATGCAGACTGCCGCCTCGACAGATTGAAATTCTCAAAAAGGAAATTCAAAAAATGCTTGATCTTAAAATTATAGAGCCGGGAGAATCTTACCATACATCTTCCATGATTTTGATAGAATCTTCATCAAAGGATCCTTGGCCTTGTATTGATTATCGTAAACTCAGTGCTGTTACTAAAACTGAATACAGTCAAAAGTCATTAATTCGGACACCCATAATCCAAAATGATCTATAATCTGGACCTCAAAGCTACAAACTTCCTGCGCATGCGTCACGTTGACGGCTGAAGACCTTTACGGCTGCGCATGCACATAATACGTTTATGCATGCACGTTTAATGTATAACGGACGGTATAAGCTAAAATTATCTAATTATCTATTTCAGTTAATGTTGCAGATTGCGTTGTTCCTTAATCTTCGAATTGGATCCGGCTTATTATTTTTTGCAGACTGTTAGTGTGATTTTATAAAAGTAAGCTTGAACTTTCAATTATGTCAAATAGAATTTCCGATGCTGGAGCTCCCAAAGGATCTACAAATCGAAAGTATGTTTCGATGTCCATCAAACAAAAAGCGGAATTGCTTCAAAAAATGGATAAACGCATATCCTTTGTTTCTCTAACCATTCCGAAATCTGTTTATCGGTTTCACGCTGCTCTGCGGCATGGGGGGGGGGGCGCCGCGGTGCGCAATGAATTGGACGTTGATCTGTCAGCACTATCCTTATCTTCAGGGCATATGTTTTTATTTTATTTGGCTTATAATTCCTTACTAAATGTATTATTTCATCTCGATGTACTCCGTCTTTGATATGATTTAAAGCAAATTCCTCGTCATTATAATTCGCTTCCGATAGTAAAGAAAGTGACACAAACATTATTGAGAACGAAAAAATTTCGATTGACAAATTAACTCGGTATTCTCGATACAGCAATTATAGGACTTGAACAGCGGAACTTTGTAACTGAATAAGAAATTAGCAACTTAAACAACTTACATTGAAAGACATGTTTAATAAAGTAAACAAATAAATATTAAGCTTTTTTTTTTTTTTTTTTTTTTTTTTTTTTTTCCCGTAAATTTTGATACCCTTTAGATCATAATTGTTCTTTATTTAATAAATTACGGTTTCATATTTTTAATTTTATAATTTCTGCATGCCATCTTAACAGATTTAAACTGATGATCTATAATCCGGAAAAATCGGTAATCCGGAATCGCCGAAGTCCTGACGAGTCCGGATTAACCACTTTTGACTGTACACTATCCTTTGCCTAATACTGAAGAACGTATCGAAACTGTAGCAAAAGCAAAATATATTACCCTATTAGATTTATCTAGAAGCTACTGGCAAATTCCGTTAACAGAAAGAGCCCAAAGATATGCAATATTTGTAACTAGTTTTGGAAGTTTCAGGCCTCTACGTTTACCCTTAAGATTATAAAATGCTCCATATTTTTTTTAGCAAAGTTATGACTTAAGTTCTGGCTGGATGCGAAGGATTCGCTGTACCATACCTAGATGACATTGCCATTTACTCAGAAAACTGGGAAGATTACCTTAAAAACTTAACTTCTGTTCTAGACAGAATATAGAAAGCAAACTTATGACTAAAACCATCAAAATGTAAATTTGTGCAAGATCAAGTGAGATACCTAGGCCTTGTTGTGGGACAAGGACAACAAATCCTGGATAAAGTAAAGATTCTGGCTGTAAAGGAGTATTCTACACCTAAGGCCAAAACAGAAGTACATGCTTTTTTAGGACTAGTAGGATATTATCACCAGTACATATCGAGATTTTCGGAAATTGCTTCACCATTCACTGACGCTTTGAAGGGGTAACATAAAAAAAGGAAATATACAATGATCTGAAGTATGTGACAAAGCTTTTAAACATTTAAAAGAGTTGCTATGCAAGAAACCTATTCTATATGCTCCCGACTTTGATAAAAGGTTTATTATACAAACCGATGCCTCAGACATTACATGGTTATAGCACTATGTCAATTAGATAATGAACAACATGAACATCCTTTCTTGTATATAAGCAAAAAATTTATTAAATTTGAAAAGAATTATTGTACTTCTGAAAGGAGTGCGCTGCCATCATCTATGCTATCAAGAAACTGCATTTTTATCTGGATGGTCAGCAAGAATTCTTGATCCAAAATGATCATAACCCTTTGGTCTGGCTACAATCCAATGCCAAATGTAACTCTAGATTGATGCGCTGGGCACTTTCATTACAACCTTATAATTTTAAGGTCATTCATTGCAAAGGATCTTTGCACAAGAACGTAGATGTTCTGAGTAGAATGAAGTAATACAATAACTCTTAGTTTGTGTAACCAAGTTTAAAATTTATTTTATTATTTAATAATGGAATGATCTATAATCTGGACCTCAAAGCCACAAACTTTTTTTTTTCCATTGCTTTACGCATGTGCATAATACATTTACGTATGCGCCTTACAGCATGGGCATGCACGTTGAGAGGATGTGTCTCCAGATACGTTAAAAATGCTTGCCATAATTTATGGCCAGCTACAGTATTTCATGGTGAGGACGATGAAGATGATAGCCGCGAATTTGAAGGTTTTCGGACATCGCAAACTAAAGGTGAAATTTTCCAGTTATTGGATTTTGTAAAGAAATAGGGAGGAGCAGTAATAAAAGAAGATGATATAACAGAAGTTTTTCATTGTAACGGCAATGCCCCAATCATCAATCAATTAACAGATGGCGAAATTTGTAGTATGGTTGTAGATCCAGAAAATACCGCTTCTGATAGGTGGAACTTTGTAACTGAACAAGAAATTGTGTCTGTTTATAGAATTAAAGAGAAAGTATTAGCACAAAAAACGAAGCAACATAAACAACTTACATTGAAAGATATGTTTAATAAAGTAAACAAATAAATATTAAGCTTTTTAACGTTTTTTTTTTTTTTTTTTTTTTTTTTTTTGTGTGTGTGTGTGTGTGTGTGGTGTGTGTGTGTAAATTTTGATACCCTTTAGATCATAATTGCTCTTTATTTCATAAATTACGGTTTCATATTTTTAATTGTATAATTTCTGCATGCCATCTTACCAGATATAAATTGAAGATCTAACAATCTGGAAACACCCCTAATCCGGAATTGCTGAAGTCCCTACTAGTCCGGATTACGAACTTTGTACTGTATATGCTCAATTGATGTATTTGAACGTTCTTCATTTTCTTTCTATTTAAATGTGGTGTAAAAGTATTTGTTGAAAACTTAAAATTTTGGTTTAAAGTTTGGAACTTATGGGAGAAATTACCTTCTATTAAAATAATTGAAAAGGCCGAGCTCATAAACTTTCACATTTTATAGAATTTTTCCCTTCGGAAAACGTCTCTCTGTTGGAGGAGAGGTTGTAACAGCTTTAATATCGTTATTAATCTCTTGTTCATTTGAACTAGATGAATAATAAACAATGTACAGCTTACTAGCAGTATTGAAACGCATGCATTTTCTCACACGAAGCATGTAATTTTTTTTTTTTAAATATGTATACAGTACAAAGTTCGTAATCCAAACTCATCGGGACTTTGGCCATTCCGGATTATAGATCATCAATTTAAATCTGGTAAGATGGCATACAGAAATTATACAATTAAAAATATGAAATCATAATTTATGAAATAAAGAACAATTATGATCTAAAGGGTATCAAATTTACAAAAAAAAAAAGCTTATATTATTGTTTACTTTATTAAACATTTCTTTCAATGTAAGTCGTTTAAGATGCTTCCACAAAAAATTCAAAAAATTCCTTTTTCTTGTGTCATATATAGTGGACTTTCCAATGCCATACTTCTTGCATAGTTTTGAGATGGCCCTTATCCATTTTTTGCAGCAATTCCACTTTTTGTTTAATGGACATCGAAACATGCTTTCGCTTTGTAGATCCTTTGGAAGCTCCAGAATTGGAAACTCTTTTTGACATAATCGAAAGTTCAAGCTTAATTTTTATAAAATTGTTCTAACAGTCTGCAAAAAATAATAATCCAGATCCAATTAGAAGATTAAAGAACAGCACAATCTGCAACATTAACTGAAATGCCTTAGATAATTTTAGCCTAGCTTATACCGTTCATTATACATTAAACGTGCATGCGTAAACGCATATGCGCATAATGCATTTGTAGCTGAGGTCCGTATTATGGATGCCCGGATGACAGACTTTGTACTGTATATACTTTTTCTTCACTTGTTTGTATGTCGCCATTTTCTTGAGTGTAAAATAAAAGTTAATGCTGTGTTCCATCATTGGGGTTTACTTCAAATTGTTAAAGTAGTATCACATTAGGAACACTAAACTATCTTATAAAGGTGGTGAGAGTTTGAACAGATTGTTTCCCTTTTGTGAATGTTCTAATCCACTTACTGAGTTATGTGCTTTGGGTCGGGAGACTTCATGGGATGAGAAGTGGCACATTGATAAGGGTAACAGTGCAATTCAAACTTCTGGGAATATGGGAGTAAAATAGGGAAGGGGATAAAGATTTTCCGAGCTGCTGTAATTTAGACACAGAAGCCTGAAAAATTAGAAAACTGGGGATATAAGAAATAAAGCAATAAAATGAAGGATGAAGAGAATGGGAGATTTTGGTAAATCATAAAGACATGAAATGTTAGATAACTGGTGAACATTAAATGTTATACAGAACAATTTTGGTCTCATTCTTTAGCTAATAGCACCATAACCATATCCCAGTGTTGCTATAGTACGGTTACTGAATTTTTATTATTGTAAAAAGAAAAAAAAAAATTCTGAAAATTCAGCCACATACGTTTGAATTTGTTTAACACACAATTTCTTACATAGGTAGAAGTTGTGGAGGTATTTTTCCGTTTTGCCGGCGCAGGTGATAAAGTTGCCAATAATGGTACAACTGATGCCAAATGGAATATCTTCACTGGTAACCTTTTACGTCTCAGTTTCAAAACAAGTTGCAGCCATTTCTTATTAGATTGATTGGTGCTTTCAATACTGGCAAACAATTACATAGAATTTTTACCAGATAGTACAATTTTATTCCAATTTAATAATTCACACTGCTCACCCAAAGGCGAAAATATAGAAAAGGCAAGGGGTTAAATTCATCAATTCTAATTAGAATACACTAGAGTAAAGCTGCAGTTTTACAAATTTCTGAGTAAGCTTCGTACGAAAATGCGAAAAATAATTCTTGCATTTAACTTGTATTCCATTATTAAATTTAACTTGAAATTAATGAGATAATTACGAGTAAAAAGGGAGGTAACGGGAGATGAGATCACTTGGGGTCACGTATGATTTAAATGAACCGCCGATATTTGTGAACCATGAAGATTAAACTTAAATTATGTAAATTGTTTTTTGTTTTGACAAAATTTGATATTCTTGTTTTTCCTTCAAAAAAAAATGAATTCTTTAGATTATGAAAACCTTAAAAAAAAATTAATAACATGTTAACATTTTTATGTGTATACTGTATGTTCTCGCCAATGAAGTCTGCTTGGTGAGATTTGTGCTGGCTAAATGGAAAAGTTACTGTTGTGGATATATCATCTACAGTTGAGTTGCCAGATTAGTATAGTTTTTTAATGCATGTAAATGTCAGAAATTTATACCTGCAGTAATTAAAGCATGAACAATGTCTTGATTACTTTCTTTTTAGGTAATATAATGACACTTTCCTATAGCATAGGACTGACAACTGGTTCTGGTGTAGCATATTTGATTGATTTTTTCTTGGGCCCACCACTTCTACATCCTTGTCTTGAGCCATTTGCTTCAGATAACATGCCAGCATCTGATAATATAACATCATTGCCATTAAATATTACATCTTCTAATTCAGATGTCTTGTGGAACATTACTGTACCTCTAAACAATACTGGCACAAACACCAGTATGTGGTGATTTATTTATTTATTAATGTGTTATGTAAAAGAAATTGTGAAAGTAGTATATTTGTGTCATTGTAAAGCTGTCGATATAAGTAAATAAGTACAATATTTCTGTTAGCTGTTTAAACCCTCTAACTGGCAAGGCCATATATATATCTATGGCTTGGAATATTTTCTGTGATATCTATAAGAACGTACATATATGTGCATATTAAAATATGTCAAAGAAATTAAGCCAATATATTAAAAGTACACAAATCCAGGTATAAAACACCAGGAGAATTTTTACATTATAATCAAGAAAATAATGCTTTCTTGTAGTAGTTTTGGGAAATTTGTGTTTTCTTAGCAAAAACTCTGGCCGGTCAGAGGGTTAATCATATTAATTGCAGTTCTAATCATGGCTGTTTAACCGTATTAATTACAATTCTAATCATTCTTTTTGGTTATTGACTATAAATCTGCTTATGTATTATACAATTTAACTCTTAGTTTTCTATATTCACTTTATTTTCCTGTAAAGGAATTTTAACTGGTTGAAGCCATCTAGAGCTAGAATCTTAATTTTTTTATTTTATGTGATGAGATCAGATTTCTGATCCATTTATGATTGTAATTAGGTCAGTCTCATATCCAAACTAACTGGGATCATAAACCATTCATTAATTTAAAATAGCTGAATAATTACTTTTTTCTTGCAGACCATTAAATATGTATATCAGAAATTAAATTAATGATAAACAAAGCAGTCAACTAGGAAGAAGTAAGTACATTTGTACTAAAAGGAAGAATTTAGCGTAATGTGCTGCTAAATTTAAATGTAGTTTAAAAGTAAGGAGAGATCCAACTCATCAGTAAGAAGACATAATTCCACCAAGTAATGTAATACATGATAAACAGCAATGTAAGAAACTAAGAATCTAAGACAATTATCTTAATGCAGAAATTAAAATTTAAGAAAGTAAATAAGCAGAGATTAATCATCCTTGGTTGAAGCCTCAAAACAGAACTTGTCAAGGGAAAAGTGTTTTGAAACTCCATATCCATTCGATTAATTAGATAGTCAAGACAAATTTCATTCTGACTAATTCACTGAGACTCTGAAGCATAACTCCTAATCAATTAATCAATGAATTAGTAGAATTAAGAGTCTTTTTGATCTGTATCTTTTCCCCCATTTCTCATAGGTTTCCAACACAAAATGTTAAATTAACATATAAATATATATATGTGTATGTGTTAATTTAATATAGTCGGTTTCTTACGTCTTAAATCTAACTCATAATTTATTATGTGATAGTTGTAGGAAGGCTGAAATAGTTCGAAACTGAAAATAAATTAAACATTTTTCTCATATTTTGAGTTAAAAACAGTGGAACTGGGAATACTTTTTTTTTTTTTAAATTATTATCATCTATCAAAGAAAGTTTTAGTATTCAATTGTGCAACCTTTAGCCCCTGTAATAGCCTCAAAGGATTGACTCTACCAAGTTTTAGTATGAGAATAAAATATAAGTAAAACACTGAATATATTTTATCACATCCTTCTTGCAGGACATGTGCCAGATGGTCTTTTGCTGCCTATTTCATATTTTCTTGTTAAAACCAGTAATGTAACTGATATAGTAAATGCTACCAAAAAGGGAACAAAAGTTATATGCAAGATATCAGTATCATACTGCTTCTCCCCACAGTATATGTTTACAAAATATAACAAAATCAGACTTTTTCAAGAAAAATTTATCTGCACATCTAATAAAAATTGACTTCTATAACCAGAGGGCCATGTAAGCTTTACATTTAACCAAGCAAATTTAATTACATAATAAAAACACTACATGGAAGAATTACATGTCAAAAGTAATAAAAGTAACATAAAGCAATTACTCTTGGATAAGAGGAAAAGTTATGTCCATGCAAAAATCTGTCGAATCTTTTTTAACTAACGGTTGAGATGTTAGACGTTTCAATTTTTGTTGACTGTTGCCATTTAGCGTTAGGTTATAGACTCCCCCTCAGGCTCTGATGACGTCTCGAGGAAGAGTCTGCAAGATATTTCACATTCATCTCTATGAAGAATAAACCGGGAATCTTTTGGTGTCGAGTTTGAAATTATTGATTTAACTGCACAGAATCAGGATGATTCTCCAAAACATCAATGAATCGGGATGATTCGTCTAAAACTGGATGGAATCAGGATGATTTTCCAAATCATCAAGGAATAGGTTTCCTAAAACTTCACTAAATAGGGATGATTCATGGAATCGGGACGATTCCCTGAAACATCACTGAATCGGGATGATTCATTTAACATAGAATCAGTATGATTCTTGAAAGGTTCATTATAAGGGGTTGAATCTTTCCCGGTTTGAAGCGACCCTTGAATTCTAAAAGTAAGCTTTCTCCCTTCCAAATCGCAATATCAGATCCACCCTACTGTAAAAGGAACTTTGAAATTAAAAATTTTGAAAATCTCAGAATAGATCGAAGGCAACTTGACAGCACCTGTGGAATTACTATTTTGTTTATATTCATTACTTTTGCTAGACGACTGCACTTAATGCAACACATTTTTGAGCCACTTATTTTCCTTTTCTAAATTTGAATTTTGTTTTTTATTTTCTCATAATTCTATGAGAATATTAAAAAGTTCACTAGAACAATCATCTCTTGTAGAACCAGAGCCTTTCTGTTTTTAAACCGTTTCCTCCACTTCATCATCAAGGTCTTATTTTTCTTCTTCCAAGCCTCTGATGCATTGCTCCATTTTTTAATGACATATTTTCAGTCATTTCCTTCTGTTGATCCATTTCTTTTTTATTCTCAAATATTATTTCTTTTTATTTAGAAAATTAAACATGCTCTCACTCTAAACTATCATAATCAATTTAACTTTACATAAAATACAATTTGTACTTACTGCATGATTGCTTTACAGTAAGCTCAAGAACATTGGATTAATCCTTCACTGCCAGAGTGGCTGTTAATTTTCAGATTGTCAAAAATCTAAATTTTCCATATCACCAGGGTGATGATTTTCTTCTTTTAACGCAAGTAAAGCTCGAAGAAAAAATTGCGCTCGGCTTTCGGTAATAAGTTTTAAATTTTTTAGGCTTCGGGCCCACCGTTGGGCTGCCAGTTTATAACCAGAGGGCCATGTAAACTTTACATTTAACCAAGCAAATTTAATTATAATAAAAACACTACGTGGAAGAATTACATGTCAAAAGTAATAAAAGTAACATAAAGCAATTACTCTTGGATAAGAGGAAAAGTTATGTCCATGCAAAAATCTGTCGAATCTTTTTTAACTAACAGTTGAGATGTTAGATGTTTCAATTTTTGTTGATTGTTGCCATTTAGCGTTAGGTTATACTTCAAAGATGCTCTTTTTCCCCCCCTCCCCCCAGTATAATTAATTTTGTTTGCATCTTTAAGTAGTATTTTTCATTTATCTTTAATGCTTTACTTGCTTTTAATATCTCAGAGTTATTTTGTTTATGAAGCATTAATAGCATGCAGTCCATTTTTAAATTACCATTATTTATCAGAAAATCATTTTCCCCCAGTTTCATTTTACATGCAGAATGCCATCTGTGTTTTATTTATTTTTAATTTTTTGATAAAACTCATATTTAAATGTGTTCATGTGTTGAACCTTATATTAACAGATACAAGATAGTAACAGATACAACATAATAGAATAGAAATAATGAAAATATATCTTAAATTTTCCCACTTGTGACCTTTAAATTTAAGAAATGAAAGAGATATTTATTTAAAAAGAATTGGTTTAATTTTTTTTAAAATTTACATCATTCTTATGCAAAAATAATATAGGTGATATTGATCTCTATTATTAAAGAATGAAGAACCGGAACAGCTTCAGTATAGCCCACCTTGAAAGTTGGGCGTGTTTTTTTTAGGGGGTGCCAAAGCGTGTGATATATGTTGTTTTGGAAAATGGTTACAATCGAGATTTTTGACGAAACTTCGTGTTTCCAAAATGGCGGCCATCTTGATTTCACCAGAAATTGTGGATAATAGAAATAAATTTACGACTATTATACACGATTTTAAAAGAAAAAAAAATATGAAGTAATGATTAATGAAAATGATTAAGTTTAAAAGGATGTAATTTTAAAAACAATGATAGAAAATCTACCCTTTGCTTGGCTTTCCCAAATGTAAGATACCTTTGCATGGTATCTTACATTTTTCACAACAAACTTTATCCATCAAAGATCCTCTAAAAAGTTCATACTCTCTTGTTAATTCATACATAAAATATCTGTTTGGAATGCCTGGCTTTCCCAAACTTTTATGCTTGTCTGAAATCTCCCACCTTAAATTTTCCTTTAAAAATCTCCTGATACTTAATTACAACATCACTAACAGAAGGTTTAGAGCAATCCATAACTAAATGCAAAAATCTTATCTCCAAAACAGTATTCTCCACAATATCTGAGCATTAAACAATCACCCAAAATAGTGTTACGAATTTTGTGTTTAGATAGTTAATTTTAGTAGAATTCTAATTAAAAATGTTTATTCCTCCCCTTGCAATGCAGTGCGAGACAAATTTTAAGAAAAGTAAGAATACAGGGGCATGTGCATTTAAAATGGATATAGTATTTAAAATGGAGATCATAAATGGATATGGAGTAAATGGATATCTCGGTAATTTGTATTCAAATTGAATAAATGTAATTGACCCCTATGTTAGCTATAACCGTAATTCCATCCTCTTTAGAAATCAGAAATTTACGGTTGTTTACATTACGTTTGCTGGTCTGTGTGGGTTACCACATGCTTGTAAACTGGTGTGGGTTGCCACATCATATCATTTATCGCCATTCTTGGCAATATTTTTTGGTTAAAATTCTGTGTGGGCTATACTAAAGCTGTTTCGAAGAACCTATTACTTTCCTAACATTGTATAAAAATGGCTGCACCTCAAAGCTTGCATTTTGAATTTTTAATGTATTTTTTATTTATTTCATATGTTGTGTAAATTTAAGGAATTTTTTTGTTAGCAAACTCATCAAGTTAAAAACGACACTGTTTGAAATTAAACATTTTTATCTCCAGATCACCAGACTGTTGCCATTCCACAAAATTTAAGGTATTTTTATCTTTCAATTTTAATCAACAAAATCTGCTTTTTAAAAGCAATGTGTTGCTATTCCCTAAAATAAAATATTTTATCTTCCATGCACCAGTATATTACCATTCAATAAAGAGTAAGCCATTTAACTTTCAGATTTAATCTGCTTATTATTGATTAACAAACTGAATGATTTAAAAGAAATAAACACAGTTCTCAGGAATATTTTTTCTTCTTTTTAATCTGATTGATTTTAATAAAAATGCATTTAAATGAGATGCCTAATTAGAAGTATTAAATATTTTTAAGAAATTGCACTAGCTGAACTGATTAAAATTATTTTATATATTTTGGTTTTTTTTTTTTAAGGAACTATTTTAGATGGCTGGCTGCACAGGCAGCTAGTTTAAAAGAAAGAAGTAATGTTATTTCTTTCCAAATGTACATAATTCTTATTTTTGATCGTTTCTGATGATAGGCATGTAATATTTAGGTATATATATATATATATATATATATATATTTAATTTCTCTATGTGTTTGCTTTGTAAAATGAATGCAATCCATTATATGAATAATATATTAAACTTGACTACTACTTTTAATTTTCGGAAGAAGACGGTTCATTATCTTCTGGCTCTTGTTATATTCAATTGAATTATATTTTATTTCTTACTGGTGTTACTGAGATGGTCAAAAGGTTATGATAAAATTATGTACAGAATGTGCTGATTTAGTTGCATAAATTTACTTTTATGCTTTGTTAAGATTTAAAGCTGTACTTTGAGTTTAGCCATCATCATTATTATTACAATGAAACTGTTACAGCCATTGGTTAGTGATGTAACTATCATTTGCTACCTTTTGTGTTCTACTTAACTATGATTATATGTTGATAAATATTCTCAATTGAAGATTTATGTGATGTTAAAAAGGGGAAGAATGTATTTATGTGAATTGTATGTGTATTTTCATTCATAAATACAAATGTAGTACTAAATAATAGGTAGTAGGTTTTTGAGTAATAATAACCTAATGAATGTTTTTAATGTTTTCTTATAGAAAAAGGAAAATAAAATATGTAAAAGTGAGCTTGGGATCTATTTTATTGACTAATGCTTAGAAACTTTCTTGTTAAGTTATGGTATTATAACATAACTCTGAATGGTAGTATATTAACATAAGTTGAACATACTTGTTATTTGTATACAATTTTTATTTGTGATATTTTTTAGATTTATAGAGAGTATATGATATTTGCTTTTAATGCTTTTGAGTGTTGTTTAATTAAAAAAAGCTGAAAAACTAAACATTGGTCATTTTGTAAAGAAATATTTTATTGCTTTGAATAAGTATATTCTGTGCCCTAAAATCAACTCTTACAACTTTATTAATATGCATTTTCATATTAACTATTGCTGCATTATGGTACAGAATAGTTTTTAAAAATCTTCAAGTAAATGAAAAAATGTGTAAAAATTTTCTATCTGAGCAAGATATGTTTCATCAAAAATGAGAATGTTACATTTCTAATGTGCAAGAATAATTAAGCAATGACATTCCAGTGTATGCCAAAATATATTTCTCTTTTTTTGTAAGAATCTTATGTGATAACTGTTGCATACGTTAAAGTGTAATTTTCTGTTTAGATGTCATTTTGCTGCCTTAGAATCTTATATTTTCTCTGTTTTGTTATTTTTGTGTTTTTCTTGAATTCTTTGTTCTTTTAGATGCATTATTACATGTTTGAAAAAAGTGAGCAATGACGTCATTATTAATCATCTATCAATTATCGCTATTATTAAGCTTTAATCCAAGGCGGTGGACTGATCGAATTAGTTGTGTTTCCGCCATTCCTCTTTCCGAATTTTTTCAAAATTCTTCCTATTCCCGCGAAATCGGAGAGTACAGTCCCCCTCCCACAGCTTTTCAGGAGATGCCACGATGAGTCATTAAAAAGAGATGGGCAGTTTCTTTGTGAATAAGTTAGTCTTTTTTAGACTGACGTGTCTTTAGGCTCCTCTCGAAATCTTTAGTTTCATTCTATTTGAAATTCTGTTAGAATATTAGCTGTTATTTTCACAGCTTATGTTAACACATTAAAGGCGGGAGTAGTAGTACTACGATTTATCTCGACTGTAGCTTAAAGGCAGGAGTCGTAGTACTACGATTTATCTCGACTGTAGCTTAAAGGCGGGAGTCGTAGTAATACGATTTATCTCGACTGTAGCTTGCGCATTTAATCTCGACTGTAGCTAGCGCATGGATTGCGCAATGTGGTTTGGAACCACATTGTGCTATCCATGCGCCACTTTATATTTGTATTTAGCATGTTTTGTGGTTTGAAGCTGTTCGGTTGTTCAAATTCTACTTACAGTAAATTTTGAAATCATTCAATATGGTTTCACGTGAAAATAAAGATATATATGCAGACGATTTGATGTTTATTGAAGAGCCACAACCTGGTACATCGAACTCGGCACCACGGGCTCCACGATCTAAAATTGGTCCGCCTGGCCGTCTTTCGCTAGACATCAAAAAGCACAAATTAATTCGGATAGAAAATAAAGACAAAAAGTTATATGCCCAGCGAAACTGCGTAATTTGTGCGGCACATAAAAAAAAGAAAGTTGACTTGCTTCAAATGCGAGTTTTGCAATGCACCTCTTCACCGTGGTCAGTGTTATCAACATTATCACACTCATAAAAAATACTAGATTCTTCTCATAAATATGTATTTTAAAACATTTTTTGTAATTAGTGTTTAGTTCTTTTTGAATATTTCTTGTAGTTTTAGGAGTTTAAATAAACTTTTTTAAGTCTAAATTTTTTTTTATGATTACACAAAATATTGCCCGCTCTAGAACGAAAAACGAGACGAAGCGGTCTTACCTAGCATACTTTCATCAAGATCCCCCGCCTTTAATGTGTTAATCAATATGGATGTTTTAGACATTATTGAAATTAAAAGGGAAAAAAAAAAAAAAAACCTTTAGCCCTTTATAAAGGTTATCCATATCGAATTCGGAATATAAGTAAGGATAATGTAGTTTATTGGATTTGCGTAAATGAAAGAATTAAAAGCTGCAAAGGCGTAATTAAGATCAAAGAAGAAGTCGTTTTAGAACTTCGTTTCAGAACGAATATTTATTCTGAAAGATTTTATTGTAATTCACTTTTACACAGAATTTCAGAAAAATATTATTGTTACTTTAGGAAACGATCTTTTAGTTCATTACTAAAATCATCACAGAGTTAGAACATCTCTTTCTCTCCTTTTAAATACAGTATTAGCCTCATTCAATCAAAGATCTGAGATCGTAAATATTTTTCGATTATTTCTTTTAAAAATTCGTTTTTTAAATCTAAAAATTTTTGCTTTCCTACATTTTGGGAGAGGCCAAGGCCCAGTCGGGCCCTACCGTGTAACCCTTTTGGAAAGGGGGCTAACGAAGGTTGATGATCTCGCGGAAACAGGAACGTTTCTGACAACCGCTGAAACAGGAAGACACCAACTGATCATTTCAGATTCTTATCACCTTGACTTCATAAGAAGCATTTCGTTTAGCTTTTGAGCGTCCTCAGCTGAAGTTTAATGCTAAGAAACTATGCTAGACAGAGCATTGCGAGGTACTTTCTTTCTCTAGATTTCATATTTTCTTCTAATTTTGGGCCATCAGTCTTGACCATTAAAAAATGATGTTAAAAAAGTCTCAAATCATTGAAAGCAGGATTACTATACAAGTATGTTATGTAAAGTTAACTTTAATTTAGTGACTTATGTAACTTTAGGTAAATAACAATATGATGCAATACTGGCAACAGAAGATGACAAGACAGTTTCCAGCAGATCCTATGCCTATACTGAATTCCCTCTTTCTTCTCCCCTCTTTTTTAAACTAGGTTTTCTTTATAATGTCCCATTTAAAAATTAAAGTTTGTTGTAGTTTTACTAAACGTGTTATTTTACCTGGCCATGATCATGATAAATTGTCATCATGATCAGGTTTCCTATTTATTTAATTTCTTATGTTTGAATTTTTTGCCTACGAACTTTTGAGGAGAAATTTAGTCACACAGTCTTCCTGAAACATCCTATATATCAATCTTATTGCATCTGTTTTATGGTCAGTATAAGTTATTGTATTTTTAATGTATTGTGATCATTTTCCTTGGTTATTTTATTTTTTATGGTGTTTAGAATTTTTAGAATTACTTAGCAGTTTCTTAGTCTAATTATTATATAAATCAAATTGGAAAAGAATCACGTCATATACAATATAAGCAAAACAGCAACCTTTTTCTGCATACATTTTCAATACAACTCTATCAATTTCGAGGGCGATTAGGACACAGCTCTCTCTTCTTCAGGAGCACCCCCCCCCCACGAAAAAAAAACTGCTTCTAACGAAGAAGAACCTGCATCTGTTTGCCTTCGAAATGGGTAGAGTTTTACTTAAAATAAGCCCAAATAAGTTTGCTGTTTTGCCTAATTTTAATGTTTATTCAAAGTAATTATTTATACACAAAAAAGCCCATAAATGTGCAGTAAAAAATTTATTATTTTTCTTCCAGTTTTTCTAAATTTGAAGGATGTTGTTTATAATGTAAGAAAACAGTTTTATATATTTAAAAAATATATATAATCATCATATATCCCAATGAATGTAGAGTTCATTGTTTTGTATGTGCCATGTACTACTGTTTGACGTATATTTAACTGAAATAAAGTTCATTAGCAGATCGTGTTTTGCAGTAATCATTTTAATTCACTGTCCTCATCTCACCGCTGTTAAATGATTAAACTGAATACATTATAACTCAAAAAGAAAGAAAACTGTGAAGGAAATTTTTTTGCACAATTTCCAAGACACACACACACACACACACACACAAAAAAAAAAAAAAAAAAAAAAAAAAAAAACGAAGTGATGTATAGTAAGCGAAAAATGAAGAAAGGGGCGTTCTGTATATCTCATTGCATTTTATTGATCAACAAAGCTGCTATTTACTATCGTTAAAGAATAAGTTAGAATATATTACTGTGATAAAAAATCATCAGGAAAAATTTCATGCAATTCGAGATTTCAATTTATTAATCAGTATTTATTATATTTCATTGAAAGTACACAAACCCCTTCCAACTGCAATGAATTTATGCCAACTCTTTTATTTCAAAATGGTGACCACAAAGCACCAGTATTAACCATGGAAATAAGAAAAAAGAATATTTTTTAAGGTTTTGTACGCTCTCGCTGAGCTCCAAGTGTAGAAGTTTGCTGTTACACCTCTCTTTTGAGAACTCCCCTTTTTTTGTCGTTTTAACTATGATTTTCTTCGCGCTTACACCGTATACAATTCAACAGCAAAATTACAAAAACTTTAAAAGCAGTATACGTTTAGAATTCCCGATGCAGCGTTAAGTGTTGGCATATATTTTTCTGTTTTTTTCTCCCTCCCCCAGTGTTCTCTCAGTTATATCAATGTTCAGTTTTCTTACTAAGATCGCTTTACAAAATTTTTTCGTCTTTTTATTATTAACGTCTTATGTGTTTATTTATTAAATATCGCTTTCTTAGCGCTTACGCCACATAAAATTCGATTCAACAGCAAAATCCCAAAAATAATTAAAAACAGCATATCTTTAGGATTTCCTATAGACAGTCTTGGGCGCTGGAAATAAGAATATTTTACGTACAGTGTTGCTACTGCTCGGTTTAAAATCATTGAGTGTGTTAATCAAAAATTCGTTAACGTTTTACAGCATATGAAATAGATTAAAAAAACAAATTCAAAATTCGGTCTTCCTGGTGCCAATGTTCGGTGGAAGACTGACTACATTATTCAAAATTCGATGGCTGTAGATACCGTTGTTTTTTCACAGTGCGAGAAACATACGTTCATGCAGATTCTTCATTATTTTATTTCCGTAGATACAATACAGAGCGATAATATTTGGTGGCAACAATTTGAAAAGTAATACGCCGTTTATTGTGATGCCGTTTTGAGACTAATATCTCAAGTCTCTTTTGGGCTAAAAAAAAAATCACACATTAGGTGATCCCAGGTGAATGAAAATTCGCAAAAGATAAAAGCACCGCGTTCTAACGTATTATCATGCTGCAAACTCCATGAGTTATGTCGGATTCCAATTTCAAAACTCGGCTATAAATCCACATTCCTAATACTCATGCCTCAAATAATGTATAAAGTATTAACGCAATTTTTTTTATTTTATGTAATATTAATAATTACAACGTTTATATTTTAAAACATCTAACTACGAATATGAAGACAATTTTCTCGTTGAATTTAAAAGCGTAAGATTACACTCTTCAGTTGCCAGACTTAGAACTGATAAGTTACAAGCATTAAACACGTGGAGTTATACTGACGATAATACGCGTATGTAAATTTACCACTCAGTTTTCTACAAATTATTTCGCCAGAATTCAGATCAACTTTTACGACTTGCTTCATACAAAACCAGAACTTAAATTGCGCCGGAGGCGTTCTCCAGTACCTCTCAGTTTTTTTAAGTAAGTGTAATTCTAGCCGAAGTGCACTTCTTTTATGTAAATAAACTGAAATTTCAGTAGAGAAATTTTGAGTTGGAGCATAAGGCGCCAAAGGGAAGCCAAGCTTTAAGAAGAAGAAGAAAAAAATTCAATTTAATAACAAATAAGCCTTAAAAATCAATTCTAACTTCTGAATGCATGCCTATCTTTTGCTTCCTTTGACGGAGGTTAAGACTTTTAAGAAAAGTAAAGCTCTCCACCTACATATCTAAGGCGTATTCTGCAGGAAGTGCAATGAAGATGCTACTTTGGTAGACGGTTGCAACGATTTTTGGCGATTTACGTTGGCACAATTTTTGGCGCGATTTTTACAATCATCAGCCATCTTGAAAAACGCTGTTTCTACGCATAGTAAAGTATTCGAAACTTAAAAAAAAATAAATAAATAAAAAAAATAAAAATAAATAAAAATAATAATAATAATATATCGTTAAAAGTAATGGATTAATTTTTTGTTGAAAATGTTGTTTTTTAAGATGGCAGGCAAGTGTAAATAAATACATTTACTATGAGTATAAAATACTAAAGTAAGGCTATTATTACTTTCATATAGCGAAAAAAAGAATAAAAACACCGCTATAAAAATATTGTGCCAACGTTTAATTACATTAAAATATTACTGAAATTGAATATCGAATTAAAAACCATCCTACCAACATTTAAAAGAATTAGAATATTATTAAATTCAAATACTTTAAAATACATTATATAAACTATAATTAACATTAAAACATATGTGACAATAATTATCTCAGCAATTTTTGAAAATAGTGTATTAATTTTTTTAACAAAAATTGAAGTATACAATTATAAAATAAAAGAAAAATATGTACTTACATTTTTTGAGTAATTTAACCTCTTGTTTATTGATAAGTACCACAAAAAAAATCGAAATCATAATTGAATTGGCTCTTTTAACCATCTTCATCTGTTATCCACATATCTCGCACTTCATTGAAGAAACAATTAGCGCGGTTTCCTCAAAAAATTTAAAATAAATTTCCTCTGACGCTATTAACAATTTATAAATAAATCTTTGATTAGGAAAGACAGGTTGGCCAAAATAAGGTCTCAAAGGGCAATTTTTTTTATTCCAATACCAATAATTCTTGGTAATTACCAATAACAACATTCGTCTTCGAAACGAAGATATTCATTCCATTTGAAATCTGATGAATTCGAAGAGATGAATAATAAAATTTTAAAATGGCGCGGTAATGCACAAATATTCAGTAACCAATCAGGGAGCTGATTACATCACGCATAAAATTAAAATTATTTAAATAATCATTCATAATAAAATCATTTTTAAAACAAATGCAAAATTAAATTGTATTTTAATATTTAACAGCCATAAATAATGTTTAAAACATTAGATTAAATTTATAGATATTAATAAAACCAATTACTTTTTAAGTAAGGTGACGTCATTGATTACATCATAAACAACATAAAATTCTAGAAAATATTATAAACAACAAAATTTTTATTTCAAATAAAAATGTAAAATTAAATTGATTTTTAATATTTAGAAGCCATAAATAATATTTAAAACACTGAAGTTATGTTAATAAAACGCATTATTTTTTTAAATAAAATGACAACAAAGTATCGGTTACCATAAATAACTTATCCAGCAATGGGTTTACCATAAGTTGTATTACTCACCAAACAATCGCCAAAATCCGTGCAACCGTCTACCAAAGTAGCACCGCAATGAATTCATGAGAACGGATTAAGTTTTCTTCCTCGAAAGTACTAAACGTGATCACCCTGGTCGTGCATGTACACCCCTAGTAACTCACTAAGGAAAGAAAAGCTTTTTGAAACGATGTAAACAAGTATGGAGGAAGAAAATTGTCACCCGTACCTTGTTATGTGGTCGGATTCAGGACAAGTTATTTTTCTTCGTCACATTGATCTTCTAGAATTATAGAGGCAGGGGTTCGCGGTCAGACCGTGTTGAACTATTCTCTCTTTCGTTTCGACGATTCACTTCTGCTTTAAAATTTCCTTTTTATACTGTCATAGTATTTCTAGTATTCCCTGTATTTTCATCAGCGATGTTTCAACAGCTTTACCTTTTTTCATTGGTATGTTGGAAGATTCTTTTCTATCATCTGTATATATGCCATATTGTGTTTCTGTCATCCCTTGATAATGCATTATACAGTGCGTAATCCAGGCTAAAACACCGTCAGAGGCTATGTGAGCTATTTTTTAGTTTTAAGTTGTAATTCCCGTTGAAGCCCTAAATGAGACAAGGTCCGATATTTTATTTTGTTTAACTATTTATCATTCATTTAATCATTTATTAAATTTTTATTTACAATTTATTCAGTTTTTACTTTAAATATTTTAATTATTAATTATTCATTTTTTCTTTCTTCGCGGCCTTCTGTAGGGCTCCGGCACCTCTAATGTTAGAAATTAAGCCCTGTGTAAAACATGCAGATAATAGTCTTTGTTAACAGTGTAGTCATTTGGTAGAAATTCGTGATACGCAATGCAACGACAATCGAAGAAAATAATAAAGATTTTTTTGGTATTTTTGTGTTTTTTCGGTTTTCCATCACTTTTCGATCCCCATTCACTTGATTTTTAGCAGTTTCTGTATCAAAGTAAAGAATGTTTAATTGCCTGTTATAATATGTTCTAGCAAGTATTCGTCTCTGAAAGCATTTCTGGGCCACTTGAACACGTTGCTCTTTTGAAAAAAACTCAGCGTACTTGGAGCAACTCGCCACAGGCCCAAATGACTCTGTTTTACAGGATCCAAGCAGTATACGAAAAATTTTTCAATATACGTCTTACAATGATCATTAAGCATCAGATCTGTGGATCTTACACCACTTAAAGTAACTTTCGTTCGAAGGACTTTTTCAAAATGTTTGTTATATTTCTGAATTTATAAGATTATTTATTAGATTGTACTCGCACTTAATTATAATCGTTGCAAAAGTGATTTAAAATTCATTATTTTGTGAAATTTATACAAAAACTGAAAATTTTATATAGGAATTATCATCATTGATAAGAACATAATGATAATAAAAGCATGTTTTTGACTTTACCTTATATACACAGTGTTTCAGCCATTCAGTTAGAAACTTTCAGAAGAGACAGAGTACACCTGGATGATGGAAAATCACATAGCAATGCACGGTCGA